CTTTATCTAATTTAGCATATTTTGAATTTATTTAGTATATTTCACTAATTATTTTCTTCTTTTAGCTAAAAAATTTATTTAGAAAAATACTTAATCCTTGTGCTGCTACAACATCATCATCTCAAATTCAATGAAAGAGAAAATACAATGATGATGTGCAGCATTATAACTAATCACATTCTTACAATGCTCTAAAGTGATCATATAAAGCACAACCTGGTATATTCTATAATACTGAGATTGAAGTAGAAGTTATAACTACAGAAGAATATGTAACTGAAACTATGAAATATACTGAAGTCAAAAGGAAGTTTAATCTGCTACTAAAGAAAGTGAAGATGATTCCATAATAGATAATGGCAAATAATAAATTTTTGGGCGATTTGAATGAGAACAGGTTGATTTATTATTATTTTATTATTATCTTTACATTTTTTTTCAGGTGATTTGGGTGAAAACAAGTCAATTTTATTAATTATCTTTATGTATTTTTTTGGGTGATTTGAGTGGAAACAGATTAATTTATTATTATTTTATTATTATCTTTACATTTTTTTTCAGATGATTTAGGATGAGAATGTATTGATTTTATTAATTATCTTTGTTTTTTTCGGGTGATTTGAAGTGAAAACAAGTTTATTTTATTAATTATTTTCTTTACATTTTTTTGGACAATTTGGGGTGGGAACAGGTTGATTTTATTAATTATTTTTTTTACATTTTTTCGGGTGATTTGGGGTGAAAACAGGTTGATTTTTTAATTATTTTCTTTATATTTTTTCAGGTGATTTAGAATGGAAACAGGTCAATTTTATTAATTATTTTTACATTTTTTTGGACAATTTGGGGTGGGAACAGGTCATTTTATTAATTATCTTTACTTTTTTTTCGACAATTTGGGGTGAAAATGGGTCAATTTTATTAATTATTTTCTTTATGTATTTTTTTGGATGATTTTGGGTTGATTTTTCTATTTTTACATTTTATATTTATTATTTTTTCATTTTTTGAATGATTTTAGAAGAAATGGATCATATTTTTATCATATATTATTTATTTATCTATATTATCAATGGAATAATTAACTAGTTATAATGAAGTCACGTGGATGATGCAGTATAACAATCTCCTAATCCAGAATTCTAAAAATATTGGGAATTCTGCGAATTCTGAAAATACGGAGAATCTACGTAATTCTGAAGATCTTTTAAATATTGATAATAATCATAATTTTATGAATTAAACAAAGTCTAAGAATATTTAATGTTATACATATTTTTAATATTCTAAATTTTATTATTATTTTAATTTTATTTTATATTTTTATTATTTTACATATTTTCAATGTATTTATTTTACTTATAATTTATTTTGCTAAATTAGTTAATTTATAACATAGTAATTAGTCAGCCGTGACGAAGAAATTTTGTATAAATAGATAGACTTTTTGCTTATGTTGTAAATTAACGCTTTTGCAGATTTGTAAACTCTTTTGTGAATACGAGTTTCAATATTAATAAAGGAATCAATTTAAAACTTATATCTTTCTGCCTCTTTATGTCTTCATATAGTCTGACGTGATTCCTACACATTATTTGTAATTGAGTTCGTCATCTGAATTCTTTAATTAAAATTATTCATAACCTTATCTTTCAATTCTCCATACTTGATAGATTCGTTTAAGTTCAACGCGTAAACTTGATAAAGTTAAGAGTTAGGCAGATCCTAATGTCTTAACCGCAGTAAGCTGTAGTTAAGAAATTTCGAGTAGAAACTTGATAACGTGACCATCTTGAGTTGAAGAAATCTACAATGATAATATTTAGGATAATTTAAGAGGATTTTGGGAGGAAATGGATCATATTTTATTATTTTATTATTTTATTTTTAATAGAAAATTAATCAGTAGGTTTTAGTAATATTTTTTTTTTGTTATATTTTTTTACTTTACAATTTTATATTAGATTTTTATTATTAATAAAATTTTAATATTTAATAAATTTAATAAATAAAATATACTGATTATTGATGCTGAATTGCTTGTCTGATAGGAGTCGATTGGTATTGATTGATATTTGAATTATTGCTGAATTGAGACCAATTTTAGGCTGATTTATGGTTATTTAAGTTCTGAATTAATGCTGAATGGTTATATCTGATTGGAGTCAATTAGCATTGATCAACATCAGAATTGTTGCTGAATTGAGGCCAATTTTAGGCTGATTTATGATTATTTAAGTTCTGAATTAATGTCAAATAGCTATATCTGATTGGAGTTAATCAGCATCTATCGACCTCTGAATTGTTTTTAAATTTAGGTCAGTTTTAGACTAATTTATAGTTGAATTTAAATTCAGAATGGCTATGTCCAATTGGGATCAATTAGCATCTATTAGTACCTGTTTGTGCTAATCAAAAAATATAACAAATTGGCCATCAATAATATCAAAATCAGCCTAAAATCGGTCATCCAATTTTTAGCCAATTTGGACTATTTTGACTAGTGATAAATAGGATAGAATTTTCATTATGTAAAGGATCATTATCTTAATCTCTTAATATTTTAATAATGAAATAATAAATATTTGTTTCTTTAATAATAAATGAACACTTGTATTTAACAGTAAATATAAAAGTATGTTAAATAAATATTTGAATAAAATTACCTATTAGAAATTAATATTTTATTACAGAAAATTAGAAAATTTATGATAATAAAATAATCAAATAGAGGATTTAATAATAATAAAAATAAGAAAAAATAAATGAAAATAAATGAAAATAAAGAAAAGAAAATAATAATAATTTAGAATACTAGAAAATGAAATAAGAAGTTAAGGATAAGAATAAAATTAACTGAAAAAATATATAATAATACTGATGATAAAAATTTATAAAAGTAAAAAAAAAAAAGATTATAGAAAATATGGATTCTACTAATAATAATAAAATAATTGATTATAGGGTTCAATGATAATGAACAAACAGTAAATGAAAAAATAAAAATATAATAAAGATAATAAGAATTAATAAATAAACATAAGAAGAACAATTAATAATTAAAGATAATAATAAATATAATCAAAGAAGAATATAACTAAGACGAAAATTAAAAATTTAAAAGTAATTATGATAACAATGATGAAACTTTAAAGATGAACTGAATAATAAAGAATTTATGATGATGTTAAAATAATGAAAATGAAAATGAATAAAAATCAATAAATAATAAAATAAAAAATTAGACAAATAAGAATAAATTAAAGAAATAAAATAGAATTCTTAAACAAATAAAATTAATTTATAAAAAAATAAATCCTTCTGAATATGAATAGCAGAAACAGTTTAGAAAGATATAACTCTTGTTATGATAATAAGAATTTTAATATTGTATAGATGTTTATGTATGTCTATATGCTATTTTTTTAACTTTATATATATTAATGTATAATTCGTTTATATATCAATATATGATTCTTATATAAAATAATAAATAATTGTGTATGATTTTATGGATTGCAAATTCATATGATCTATATATTTATAATTAACTAATAGAAGTTTTAAATTTTAAAATATATAACTAATAATCGACTTAACAAATTACCCTATTTATTTTTTTTATTATTATCTACAAAATATAGCATATAATTTGTTTAGTTTATTTTATACAAAGCTACAAATATAAATTGAAAAGAAAAAACTACTTATTTGTCTATTTCATTATTATAATTTTTTCTTGTTTTCTAATTTAATGCTTCAGCTTTAGCTTTTATAAGTCGTATTTCTACTTTAGTTATTTTTGCTTTAATTTTACATTCCTTCAGCTTCATCTTTCTCTTTTCAATATCTAATTCAAGCATTTTTCTATAATCAGTCTTAGATAATATTGTTTCCTTATTTTTTGATATAGAATCTTCTTATCTTTTCTTTGTTTTAGTTTTGTTAATAATAGAAGAGAGGTTTTTTTTCTTTAATAGTAATTTATTATTTGTCAAATCAATATTGTATTTTCAAGTATGAGATTCTAATTATTAAAAAAAAAGTATTAGAATTTTTAATATAAAATTAACTAATAAAAAATATATAATTTTACTTACCTTTGTATTTTATTAATTTAGAATAAGTAATTAGTTGAATAATTAAATATTTAAAGTTTAATATATATAGAACTTTTGCAATAGAAAGAGAGGAAACAGTTGGAAAAAATCAATTTTACTTTTATATGCCAAATATGATTTTTAGATCAAAATATGTTCAGATTTAGTATTAATTCAATTTTTATTTTTTCTAGCAGTTTTCCTCTTTTTTATTGCAAAGATTCTATATTATAATAAACTTAATATATTACTACATTTTTTACATTTACAAGATTTTGAAAATATCATACTATATTGTATTGTTTTAGTTTATTTCTAAAATAATAAATTAGTTTTTTAATATTATATTAGATTTTAAAAAATATTAAAAGAAATAAATTATAAATACTTATAGGTATAGAACATAAAAATAGATTTTGAAATAATAAACTATCAATTTCATCTGATTTTATCTTTATAAATCGATGCCACTTTTCATTTCTTTGATATTTATTACATCCTATAAAGTATAATGTAATATTGGTTAGATAGTCAGTAATTTTTTCAATATGAGGTCTTCTATCATAAGATATATTATTTCTTTTAAAAAGACAAAAAAAATCTTTGGTTGCTAAAAAAAACTAATAAAAATTACAAATATTTAATCAAAATAATATTAAATATTTAAAAATTAAAATAATAAGTAATATCATACTTGTATATCTTGATTTCTTTAGTATTATCATTATTTTTTTTAAAAAATCTCAGAATTAAAATCAACACTACAATGCTTTTGGTAATAATTTCTTGATTTGTAAATTCACAATACTTAATAATTTGACAAGTTCTTTGATCATTTTTAACAGATATATTACCAAAAAAGTGATAGTCTTTAATTTGTATAATACTACCTAAACTATTAATCAAATATTAAATCTTTATAAAAGAAAATAAATATAAACTAATTAAAAAATTTACACTTTTGTTAAAATAAAGTTTAATTAAATATATACTTATATTTAAAAATATATTATTGGGATTTTTCTAGCTATTTATATTATATATCATTGCAATATCTTCTAGAGAAGTATCTGAATATTCTACAAGAACGGTTATATATTTTACTTTTAGAATATATAACTTAGAAGTAAAGATAAATATTTCTTCAACTTCTAGTTTATTATTATACATATTCTATTTGATTTTATTTGTTAGACTTTATAGAAAATAAGTAATAACAAAATATAATATTACTTACTATTTTAGCAAATCTTTAATGATATATCTGAAAGGTCAATAGTAAAAGAAGATATTACTATAAAGTTTATAATAAAAGAGTAATTTTTAGAATAAAGAAAATATTCTATGAATAAAATTATTTACATGTAGTTGTGTATGCAATTTCATTAGATAATTTCTTAAAATATCAAAAATATTACCAGTTGCTAAACCATTTCCATTTTTAATTAAAATTAAACTAATTAATAATTAATATGATATGAATAAAAAAAATAAAATATTTCTGATTTGATAATTATTTTCAGAATATAATTGTAAGAAAAAAAGCTAATTATGATTAAATAAAAGATTATTCTAAACTATTTATATTAATTTAGCCTTTTTGTAAAAATTCATTAAAATTTCACTTATCTGAAATAAATCATTGTAAAAAATTTTTTGATTCAAATGAAAAGATTATTAATCTGAAGAATAATTGATTAAATAATTAATATTAAAGTCTTTGATAAAAAGAATGGCAATGCAATCCTTACTATATAATTAACTTTTTTTGTAAGGATTTGTATAAACAATTATATAGTATTTTATATATATTACTAGTCTAAATACTATATGTATTATTTGAAGTTCACAATACATATTTTAATATAAATAAATTTTTGCGATTATGAAATAAGTTCAAATTTGAGTATTTGATCATTAAAATTAAGATTACAAAATATTTTACTATGATAATGAGCTTTATTTACTAATAAAATAATATTCAGCTAAATATTTTACAATAAAAATAATATATTAACTAAAAAAATAGGAAATAGAAAGCATGAAATTAAATTAATATGAAGAAAGTCTAACTTTCTAATTTTTTAGTATTTTAACTTATATTTAAATTCAATTTGATAGAGAAAGTAAATTCTTCTTATATTTTAATTTTTTAAGTGTATAATTTCTTAATCAAAAGTATTTGAAATAAAAAAATTTTGTAAATTATTTATTAAAAACTTTTATTATTCAAAAAAAAACTTTTCTTTTTATCGAGAATTGTATAAATAATAATTATACTTCTATTCAATTTAGTAGAATAATATAAAATAGCCTTTCTGAATTTTTAAATTTTTATAAAAATGCGGTTAGTTTTTGAAATTTTTTTATTTATATGAATTGATGTCATTAATTAAACAGTATTGTATTTCTCACATATATACATTTTAAATTTTTTAAATATTATATTAAATAATAATTTAATAATTTACTAATTTTTGTCAATTTATATTTATATACTAAGTTCAATACCATTTGAAAAATTAATTAAAATCTTAATGTAACCAATTTTTTAATTAAATAATTTTATAATTTATTTTTTAAAAAAAAGCAAGTGCAAGACTGAAAAATATAAAAAAAAGGTCAGATAATCTGATTTATAATTTATAATTATATATATACTCTTTATATCTATATAGGTTATTGATCCATAAATATATATGTATAGAAAAAATGCAATAATTTTCATATATAAGCATATATTCATTATTGTATAGACATACATAGCTTTTTATATAATACATGTTCTCTATATACTCCTTTTGTTAAAGCTATCAAACTCATAAAATGTTATATATTTGTAAATATAAGTTTTAATGATTACAACATTATCAATTTTTTTTATTAAAAACATTAATATTAGCTTTTAATTATATTTTAGATAATTTAAAATTTATTAAAAAAATACTTTTTTTATTTTAAGTATTTATAAATTATCAATAATTATCATTTTGAATTAACTGTTAACTTGATTTATTATAGTTAATTTAAGTCAAATAAAAATAATATTTTTTAATTAAAAAAATATTAAATTAAAATTTAAATTAGAATTAAATATAAGATTTAAGCAATGAATTTAAGTTATTATTTAAATACTATGTATTTGAATATTAATTTGAGTTTAATTTTTTATAAAATGATTATTGCTTAATTTAGAAATTTAGGAAAAATAGATTTATTAGCAAAAAAAATAATTAAATAATATTATAAAATAAAATAAAATAATTTTTTATAATTAATATATTATATTATTAAATTATATATTTATAATAAATTATTAAATTATATATTTATAATAAATTATTAAATTAAATTTTAAGATGTTACTTATTTTAATTAATGAATTACTATTCTAATATATAATATAATAATTATAATATTTGTTTAGAATTAATTACAGTAAGAATTTAAAATAAAGTTATTTAAAATAATTAAAATAAATAAAGATATAAGCAATTTATGTCTGAAAGTTAATAATAGTAAAAATTATTAAATAACTTTATTAGTTTAGAGTAAATGAAAGACTATATAATACTATATAAAGTGATAAAAATATTCTATTATCTACCTATACTTGTTATTCATATTATATGGATATAGGATAAAGTCCAAATCCCATTCTATCCTAAATCTCATTCCTTAAACTAAAACTTTAACAAAATAATATTATCATAATTAATGATAATAATTTAATGATATTTTAGTTCATTAGCTTCATTTTTATGAACAGATTTAAATGATTATTATTTTATTTATGTAAGTAAGATATTATTTAAAATATATATAAAAATATATTATAGATTAAATGGAATTTGAGATTCAGAATTAGGATATAGGATACAAGATATAGGATTTTACATATAGTATGAGATTTAGGATGGGATGGGATTCTATAGTATGAGGTATGGGCAGCAACTATTTATCTATCTAAAATCAAAGCAAATAAATTAGTTATGTATTATAAATAATTATGTATAATTCATATTTATTGATCTTTCTTATACTAGTAAAGAAATCACTTTGAACTTAACAACGATTTCTTTTTTTTAGTATTATCTATTTTTATATATACTTAATTAAAAAAATTCTCTATATGATTCATTAAACAGTTTTTTAATATTTTCTTAATCTTCATACTAAAATATTCATAAAGTATTCTAAAAAGTATTTTTTAACATATATAAGTAACTTTAAGGTAATATATTAAGAAAAACTAAAATAATATAATAAATTAACTTATTATTAATTTAATTTCTATTTTATTAAATAATTAAAATTAGTTTATTATAAAATAAAAGGCAAAACTATATGATAATAGGTATTTTACTTAAATTATTTAAATTTTAGAATTAATTAAAAATTAATTTTGTAATACATTATACAATTAATTGATAAAAGGATAATTTTAGCAGTTTTATAAATTAATCTTATATAAATTTGTAAAGATATTATAATAATTGTGTTATATATAGCAAAATACTTAAATATATTATAGTACATTAATTATTATATATATATATAATAAAATATTATATATAATAAAAATAGAGTTTATGTTAAAGTAACATTACTGTATTAGTTAACATACCAATTAGAAATTAATTCAATTTGCTATTTTTGAATAATTATTTATTTATAAAAACTAAAAGATTAGTTTATAGCTAAATTTAATTATATAAGAATTTAAATAAAAAGTTATTAATTAAAAGTATAATTTAAAGTTTATAAATTTTATTATAAATAGTATAGTTTTATATGATATTTTAGTATATAAAATCTATATATACAATGTGTATATATGTATATTAAATATTTTTATATACATATTACAGTAGATAATATAAAAAATATATAAATAATTATTAAAAATAGATAAATTATATATTTAAATGAATAAATTATTTATAAAAATGGAATTATTATATAATAAATACATTAATTTTTTATTTTTAATATAACTTGTGCATATGATTTTAGTTTAAATTTTATATACTATTATATATTACAGTTAATTCTTGATATAGCGAACTCTTGATATAACAAATTTTTAAACAAGTATAATAAAAATACTCTTGTTATAGCGAATTGGCCAATCAAATCTCTTAAAATCTTCACTATAGCCTTATAGCGAAGTTGAGGTCAAGGACATAGAGTTCGTTATAACAAGAGTTAACTGTATATAGTTAGAACTTGATATAATAATCCTTTTTAGTTTTATTATAAAAGTTTAAAAAAAATAATTGTATCAAAATTTATAAATTTGATATGATATTTTTTATATATTTAATATAGAACAAAAAATTTGTTTAAATAAGAATTTATTATTAAATAATTATTATGTTAAAAATTTATTATAATGAGTTTATACTATAGTAATAAAAAATTAAAAATAATTTTTAAAATTAATATTATATAATACTTACTATTTGATTATGTAATCTAAGTTATATGATTTTAGTTTAAGCTATACAATTAGAATTAGAAATAGATCACATAAATTTTACAATTTTCTTAAAACTAAATCATATAATAAATATATGATATAATGAAAAATATTTTATTAGTCAATAATTATTTAACTATTAATCAATAGGATTTAAATTATTTAAAAAAAATAAAATATAAGCTATTTATATTTGAAAATCAATAATAGTAAAATTATTAAATGATTATATAGGATTTTTGTAATAGAATAAGAAAAAATAGTTGAAAAAAATAAAAAAAATGAGTTAATGTTAAATTTGAATATATTTTAATCTAAAAATCATATTAGTATATAAAAGTAAAGTTAATTTTTTCTATTCATTTCTCTCTTTTATTATAAAGCCTATATATTAATATTTTATATATATTTAAATTAAAAAATATTCTATAAAACTTGTTAAATAATTCTTAAATAGTTTTTAATATTTTCTTAATTCTTAGGTTAAGATATTTATAAAGTATTATACAAAAAGTAATACTAATGTTGTGTTTTAAATTGTGATTTGCCTAACTTTAAAATTGAGTAGATCTATTTTGTTCAGAACTGAAATTTTAAATTCAGGTAGTTCAAATTTAAATTTTAAACCAAGATATCTCAAATTTAATATCTAAACTTAGCTATAATAAATTATATACTTTAATGGTTAATTATGACTTTTTTGTTTAACAATATGATACTTTTACTAAATTTTAATTTTTTCATTAACTCTTATTTTCACCACAAATTTTTTTTTCATTTAAAATAAAATTTATTTTTTATTTAATTATTATGGAAGAAAAATTTTCTTTTATAAGTAAAGAAACTTTTAATAAAATTATTAATGAATTTTTCAAAATAGTAAATCAAAAACTGATGAAAAGTAATTTATAAATAAAAGTTTATATAATGATACAATTTACTTTTAATATAGCAAATTTTGATATAATAAATTATGTGATGCTTGATTAATTAAATATGTTAATTTTCCTTTTCTATAATGAAGTACTAATCAAATTCTTCAAATTTTTTGCTAATTTGCTATAATGAGTAGAGATGAAAATAGTTACTTTGTCATAATAAAGATAGACTGTATAATAGCAGTTCTCTTAGATAGTAATTTAAAATTATACAATGTAGAATTTTGATATTAGTATAGAAAAAATTATAATTTGTTAGAAGTTAAAGAATATATTATATGTAGAAATCTTAACAATAGAATAAGAAGTTTTAATTAAAGAAGGTAAACCAATTGAGGTATTACCAATATTAATTGTAGAAAAAATATATAAAGCAATTAATTTAGAACATATTCAAAACCTTCATTATGATTAAAAGTTCTTGTATAACAAATTAAAAAGCAAATTTCAAGAAATTTTAAAAGGGAAATGTATCATATTTTTATTATATTATTATATTATTATTTTTTTAATAGAAAATTTATCAGTAAGTTTTAATTATATTTTTATTATAATTTTGCAAATTTATATTAAGTTTTTAATATTTAATAAATTTAATTAAATATTTGCTTATTTGACTGAATTAATGCTAAATTAAGACCAATTTTAGGCTAATTTATGGTAAGCTATATTCTGAATTGATTCTTAATTGCTTAACTGATTAGAGTTAACTAGTGCTGATTTACAGTAAAATTGCTTATCTGATTAGTATTTATTGATGATATTTTAGACTAATTTATAGTTAAATTAATATGAAATGTATTTAATCAAACAAATTTTTTTAAATATTAATTTAATTAATCAATCAAAATTCATGTGTTTTAAGCAGAATAGATATACATAATTTAGAAAATAAATCACAAAATGCAATATAATTTGTATATTTCATATATATTTACTAATAATTTTATTTAAATAATATAGATATATATATCTTTTTCTCGCAAATAAAATATTTTTTGATATTACTTATTGAAATGATTTAATTTTAATAAAAATCATTATTTGATATTATTGTTGTTTATTTTATTTTATTTTTATAAAATTATTGAAAGTTTTGGGAATTATTTCTATATTTTAAATTTAATAAAAAATTAACCGGAAGAATAAACTTACTATTAAAATGAATCTAAAATGAAACCTGAAATAAGGGATGTTAACGACCTTTCAAACTCAACAGGTTTGGCTTAGCCAAATACAATAACTTTAAGATTATTCTATGATATTTTAAAATTTATAAAATTTATGTGACGCAGCATTATCACGGTCTTTTTTATTATTATTAATAATATATTCATAAAGTTTTAATTTATAAAGGTTGTTACCTATCTATTTGATTTTCAATACAATTTGATTTTATTAAGAAACTTTTTTATACAAATTGAATAATATTATTCTCTTTAAAATTTACAAAATGAAATTCACAACAAAAATCAATATACTGCTTCTTTTAATTTTAGCAATACTTTTTGTTCCACTCAAAAAGTAAGAAAGGGTCAAAAATACAATATTATAGCAGATTGAAGAAGTAAAACTTTAATTCTAAGAATTATCGTTTAATAATTAAAATCGTATTTAACATCTTAAAAAATTCGTGATAGGAACTTTCTTGAATTTCATATAAGGAAAATTACTATTATCAATGAATTTTCGTCCCTCTTTAGTGGTCTTTAATAATAGATTTTTATCAACATTTTTATTGAATTAAATAATTTGATAAATTTATCACTACATGAATTTGACAGTTGATATTTCATAACAATTCCTATAAAATTCCCGATAACTATCATTTGGTCATTCCAGTGTTTAGTGGATGATGTGATGTTTTATCTTTTATGACATCAACCAACGTGTTTCTGCAATAATCTTCAATGTCAATAGATAGCAGAATTGTTAAATTAACATCTATTTTCTCATTTCACTTGTTTCACTATCAACATTTGGGTATCTTCTGAAGAATGTAATGGCTTCGGAAGATTCTATATTTTATTTTAATATTATTGATTCATTTTCTTCCTCTGATGGTACTGATTCAATTACTTTTTTTAATGTTATTGATTCAGTTTCCACATTCTGTTTGTTATTTAAAATTAACATTAACTCATATTAATCATTTTAATTATTTCACTACTATAAAATAATTGATATCATATTATTATTTCAGAATAATTCATCGTCCCAAAGTCCGGGTTCCTCGACTATTTTCGTTTGACTTGCTTCCTTCATTTTTTTTTCTAATGATGCGTCTGGATCAAGAAGGTATGTGAACAATACAAACACAAATAACTTGAAAACATTTCTAAATTTAACGAAATAATATGATATTTTCTAACAATACTTGATGATTTTTATTTTTTTTTTATTTTTCAGCATTATAAATATGATGAATTTAAGGAAAGTGGCATGATGATTTTGATGATTTTGATATGTATTGTTAATTAATCAATTAAAATGATTATTAAATTTATTTTAAGGAGACGTTGTACAATCGATATGTTGTGAATTAATAAATTGAAATGATTGTTAAAATATTTTTACTGATCTTTAAATTATAATTTTAGAATAGCAAGTTTATTATGAATCTATAAAAACGTGAAAATACGAAATTTGACTTTTCACGAAAAGTATATAATTAAGGACACTTCTCAGTTCTCACGCAAACTTTTTTTCATCACGTTTTCTTCTTACAGTTTTATTCTTAATACAAAATGACTAAATGAAGAAAATATAATTTTAGATCTAATTACTAAAAATATCAACAAAAGAACTGGAGTTTTCAGACAAAATAGTGAAGGACGAGAACAAGAAGTTAACGAATTTTCAAATAAAAATAGAGAATATAATAAAAAATTAAAACGTTAACTAGTAACCAATATGAGACGCAAGATGACAACCAAAAAAGACGTTCTATGTTACTTGAAATTACAAATTTAAGTTATTTTTTATTAACAACTGAAGCTAGTAAACCTTGTCTTTTATTATAATAATAATTCGATAAATTATTGACAAATTAATCATCGTGATTCATTATAATTTACTAGATATTATCTAGAGCGATACTAAATCGTCACCAACTTCGAACACTCCCGTCAGGTACTCACAATTCTTCTTCAAGACAGATAAGTACATATAATTCTAGTTCTCCAAGTCATTCTAGAATGACAACTCCATTATAGAATCAAGAGTGACAATCCCAATTATAGAATCAAGAGATGTAACCCCTGTTACGGAACCAAGAGCAGCAACTCCAATTGATAAGCAAGTGTTAGTAATCGATGAAGAACGGGTAATGATAATAAAAAACAATCAAAACAAATCTGAGCTTTATATGAACAATCATCAAATGAAAAAACAATATGGATTAAAATAGTAATCTAATAATGTCGATTTGAATCCTAAGTTCTTCACAGTGAACAATTTTATTTTTCATCATATTATCTTTAAATAACTATCAATATTTTATAAATTAATAATAATACTTTACCTTCCCTTATAGATAAGGAATATAAAGTTTTGAATAAAAACATATAGTAAGACTTTTTATAGGTGAATTCTAAATTTAACTAAATTATTTAATCGTTCTAAAAAAAAGAAAAATTTATAGCCCAAACGTTAATGAAATTACCTCGTCTTTTCGCTTGACATGATGTATCGTAAATGTGAACAACTTGATACATATAGATAATCTTAAACTATTTTTTAAAATAAAATTCATAAAAAGTTAGTATCTTAAACATTTTGTTAATTTAAGAGCTTTATTTTCTTCCATTTCTATTGATTTATTACTTTAAATATAGAGTACTTTGAAATTTTATCATATCGCAAATTGCAACATATTGTGTAATAAAATATATGAATATATTATTTTTTTTTATCATTTCA